ATTTTAATAGAAAATAAAAATGTTATTTTAAAATTAAATAATATATATTTAATTAGAGCTATTCGACTATCGAGCGAACTTTAATAAGCGATATTTAAATTTCTTACGCTTTAATATACTAGTCGAAAAAGATATAATATATTTTATAAAATGTTTTATATTAAGTAATATTATATCGTACTCGAATATAATATAAATAGAGTTAAATATTATTTTATTTTTCTAATATAAATTCGAGATCTTAACGAGATATATTATAATATAATATATCTATAATATTATACTATAATATAATATATATATAAGATATTTTAATTAAGATTTCTATATTTAAAAGTATAAGTAGCTATTCTAGTTATTATTCTAGCTAATTATAGCTATTACTACTATAATTATTACTACTATAACTATCTACTATAGCTATTACTATTATAGCTATCTCTATTATAACTATTACTATTATAACTATCTATTATTCTATATTATTAGAGCTAAATTTCTCGAATTACTAATATACTATAAAGCTTATCGAAAAGAATTATTAATTCTATTTCTTCGAAATTTCTAACTTACTAAATTCGAATTACTCGATATTTACGTAAAATTTAAATCGAAATTTTCGTTTATATTCGACTATTAAAAGATTAAAGATTAAATTAAATATATAGCGATTACGATTTATTATAATATTTAAAACGAGTAAAGATTTATAAATTAAATTTATAATCTTTTTTCTTAATTAGAGCTATCGAGTAAATTTAATAAGCGATAATTAAATTTCTTACGCTTTAATAATTATAAGACTAAATTTAGAAATTCTTCTTTTATTTAAAAGCTTACATTTCGTTCTATAATTTAAATAAAAATCTTAAAAAGTTTAATAGAAAATAAAAAAGTTATTCTATATTAATAATATATATCTATTATTTTTAATTAAGGCTATCCGACTATCGAGCGAACTTTAATAAGCGATATTTGAATTTCTTATACTTTAATAATTATAAGACTAAATTTAAAAACTCTTTTTTTATTTAAAAGCCTATATTTCGTTCTATAATTTAAAAATAAAATCTTGAAAATTTAATAAAAAATAAAAAAGTTATTCTATATGTTAATAATATATACTTACTATTTTTTAATAATTACGAACGCTAATTTATTTATCCGCGATAACTTAGTCGATTTAATTAAAAAGCGTAGATCTAATAAATTTATAATTAACTATATATATAAATTTAAGATTTTTAAGCTTAGCTCTATCTTATTTTATTATATATATTAATTAAAAAGTAGTTTCTAGACTTATTAATATAAAATATCTTATAAAATCTTATAACGTCGACTATCTATTAAAGATTTTAAATTATATTTTAAAATCTTATAGAATCGAAGATAAGATATAATTATACGTTTAATTTTTTTATTTAATTTTTATTAATTATTCTTTAAGAATAAATATTCGAGTCTTATATTTACTTAACTTTCTATTTAAACTTATAATCGATAAAGTCTTTAAAAATCTATCTTCTATAAAAATATTTTAAAACGACTATAAATATTAATATAACGAAGATATATATACTATTAAATATATAGCTTATACGTTAAATAACGTTATTAATAATATTTTAAATTAACTACTTTTAAAAAGTCGAGATAATTAAGATAATATATTATATATTAATTATTAATTACTCGAATTAAACTTCGAAGATCTCGATAATACTTAAAGTAAGTAAATATTTTATTATTATTTTCTTAAAGTATTTAATAATTATTATTTAACTCTATATCTCTTTCGAAAATTTCGAATTCTCGCTATTATATTTAAATATTAATTAAAATAATAAGACTTATTAGAATAATAAATCGAAGCTTATAATATTAATATAAAAAGATTTAAAAAATTTAATATAAAGTTCTTAGATAATTTTTATTAATAAATATTTTAAATAAATATATTTATTAAAATTTAAGTTACGATTCTCTTAAATAATTTCTCTATTTTTAATCTACTATTAATACGATAATAAATATATTAAAGTTAATTTAAATTAAGAAATCGATTCGATTTAAAAAAATGAAAATTACTTATTTTTAATAGATATTCGAAATCTATTAGATATTTATTAAACTATTAATTATTCTTTAAGATTTAAGTTATCTAATAATCGACTACGTATTTTTATATATTCTTTATATTCGAAATAAATTAAGAATTAAATATTAAAATTAAGATTTTATAAGTCTTTTATTTATTTTATCTTTTAATAACTCTTTTCTCGAATACTAATAAAAATTAGAATTTAGTTTTTCGAAATACTTTCTATCGAGATATTTTAAAACTCGATAAATAATTTCTAAAATTCGATTTATATAAGTGGAAATTAATTTATTAAATTAATTTATTCGAATTAATTCTCGATTCTCGATTTAAATATAAACGAGTTATAAGTCTAAATCTTTCGAAATAAGAAATCTCGTTAATTATTAATAAATTTAAAGTCATATTTAAAAAGTAGATTTTTTTTTTATAGAGTTTTATTAATAAATTATTAAATAGAATAAAATATAATATTATTATCTAAAATTCTATATTATAATTAAATAATTTCGAATTTAACTTATATAACGTATATAATATAAACGAAGATATATTTACTAATAAAAGTATATTATAGAATATCGAAATCGAAATATTCGAAATTAATTAATATTTTATAGAGAATCTTAAATATTTTAAAATAAGTACTTTATAATATAGTTTAAAAAAATTAAAACTACTTATATATAATAGAAAAAACTATTTGAAATCTAAAGAGATTAAAATAAGAATTCTTCGATTTTAGCTTAAATTACTTTAAGTTATCTCGCTATTTTTATTAGCTCTAGATCTTTTAAAACTATTTTCTTATAAGAGAGTAAAATTATTATGAAAAAATATAATAGATTAAATTTTAAAATAGTTAGATAAATTATATTAATAGAAGAATTTAATATTATTAAAGATATCGACGATTTATTAGATAAAGAAGATTTTTTTAATTAATAAATTACTTAAAATATATTATATATTTAATATCTTTATTTATATATAATACTTTATAATATAATAAATACTTCTTTATTATATTAATATTTCTTTTTTTTCTAACTTTTTTAAAATAATTAAATAGAATATTTTAATTTTTAAAGAATATTTAAAAGAAAGTAATTTTAATTTTAATTTTATCGTAATAATTTAAATATAAATCTAATAGTATATATAATTATTACTACTTATAAGAGTATAATAAGTATATAATTTTTTTTTTCAAATTTTTACGAATTTTTATAAATCTTAATAAATTCTTTATTAAAATCGAAGATTTTTAATATTCTACTTAAAAATCTAAATATATTTAGAATATATTTAGAATATCTATATTCATATCGTATTTAGAATATATATGAATATGAAATGACATATTCATATTCAGAATAGAATCGGAATATGAAACTATTCGCAACAGTGGGACTGTGGGTTAGTGGGTCCATTATGAGGCCATAGCGTTGGTGGCTATTTGATCAGCCGTTCCATCATTATGCGATACGCGATATGCGATAGTAGGGAGACAGGTGGACATGGCGAGTACTATTTGTATGGCCACTGCACCAGGAGTGGGCTCTTCATTCGAATTGTTCTCTTCAGAGCCATATCATTGTTCTCCCTCCCACCCACACCTATGTATAGCTTCATTTTACTCCAGGGCATATCGCTCAGACATGAGAGTTTTTCTAGCGCTGGGGGGCCTTTTTCAGGGCTATTTGCATGTCCAGATATCCAAAAAGGTCTTAGCTGCCCCAGTGTTGGATATGCCCAATCATATATCTACATATCTACTTGTGCATACGTTATTTCTGTATGGCCTCACTGTTTGCGAGCACTAACACTGCTATAGAGCTTACGGCGGCGGCAACTAACAAATTGGGATGTGACACTGTGACATTCGGTACCAAACACAAACCGCTAAATGCCTGTTTTACGTGCAGTAACAAACTCTAAAACATTCCAACATGGCCCGGACTTGTCCAACAAGATTTACGATAATGTGAAAATCATATTAATCGCAGTCTGAATTGGATGATATTCCAAATCGATTGAGCGGCGCTGTGTTGGTTGCAAAAACATCATACGCGGCTAGATGATTAGGTTTGCAAACGTCAGACGTCCGTCATCTGCCGGTGCGGCGGCCAGCTTAACTCAAAAACAGTATGCACTTGGCTCGGATCGATGCCGGTTATACAACCCCCAGCGAATGTTCCGATTCGTGGCTGGACCCGCGCCGGACTGCCAAGGTCTTAGACTCTCCGGCCGCACGAGTATTTAGGGGCTATCAGATCCATCATCTGACTATTGCAAGTTAACATAGCTACTACCTTACCCTCACAGCCTTGCGATCAGCCCTATTGACGGTAGGTTTCAAACAACAAATAATTACTATCTCTTCTTAATCACGCCCTAGAGTAATCCTTTGTCCGGATACTCAAAACACGCTATCGTCTAATCCTACAATGGCTAATATGATGCGTTGTTCGGAAAAATCAAAATATTACTACTATCTAACACTAGGGTGCTTGCAAAGAACTACCTTAGGAGCCATGCGATAATACGGGATAGTACAACAGTAGCATTTGGAATTCCTATGATTACCAACTGGACCCTCCCTGTCTTCCTTGCCACGGGCTTTATCTACGCCAATTTGTATCTTCCGGGGAGATTGATAGAGAATACCATGCAACTTCTTCAAGCGCCATTCCAGCTTTGTGCAGAAAATGGCATCCATGTCCCACTCATATTTCTCGTGGCATTACCGCGGACATACATACACAACATCTTCTTCCACATGAACTGACACAAGCTTCAATATTTTGCCTATCCAGGAAACAATATGTTTATTTCTTTGTTCCTCACTTTGTTAAGCGTGCATCCTACTCTTGCTGCCATCATTTCACCGATCATGGTACTCGAATCATCTGGCAACGGCATGGTCTACGTTCCCGCCCCAAGTCCTACGAGTCTGGGTACTCAGATACAGTCGGGTCTTGGCAATACATCAACGCTCAGTACTCCATCCATAACTGGGACTCCCGCTACGAGTTCCAGTCTTTGGCCAGCGTCAATAACCTATGTTGCCCAATCGGGCAGCGTAGCCGTTGTCGGTGTGGCATTTACCACCATCGTCAATGGAACCTCCAAGATCACTACCACACAGCCTCAACAATCTCTAATTCCTCCAACCAAATCTGGATACAGTTTGATTGCGATTACAGTAGGCGGGAACATCACGACTCTCAACCTGAACAGTCTCCCAACTGCGACCGTGCCATCCGAGCCAACCGGTGTTCAAGTTGTGACACAAAGCGGGATCCCAGTCATCTACAGTCCCATCACACTACCAGGGTATAGCAATATCGAGCCGGCAGAGATCTCCACAAGCTTTACCGAGACTATCAATGGGCACACCACTGTCCAAGGAGGATGGTATGTACCATAACCCTACGTCATCACTGCAGATGTTGCAATGATTGCCACGAAATCCCTTGATGCTGAATGCTGTCTCTCTCAATGATTTGCTGACTTATTCGTCTCCGCAGGTGGCTTATCGGTATAGGGGGGATAATCTACCCTCCTAGAGGAAGACCCTGGAAAACAGGCTCAGGTGTTGGATGTCTTGCTGGGCCTCTACTTTGCCGGCACTCGTGTGTCGATATCGGTCTCTTCGAGGTTTGCTATCCTGGTGATGATGGCAGTGGTGGGGGCGGCGGCGGGGACGAAACAGGTCCACCCGGCTTCCCTGGTGGCCCCATTTATGGAGGAGGGGAGCCTGACGATGATCCCCCACCGTATGAACAGCCTCCACCAGACGAAGAGCCCGAACGGACGACTGAACCTGACGTTTCAAAGACATCAACAAGTTCAGCATCTGCAACCTCGGAGTCTGTAGCTCAGTATTTTCTTGTCGCAACACCAGGCGCGAATGTGGCAGGCATCAATGCTTTTCTCGGACAGATTGCGCCAAAGTCAGTGGGATCGTACGCTCCCATTTTCCCTACAAATACTGTCGATGGGGGATTTTGGACAGCCAATCTTTCATCTGACGGTGCAGCGTCAGCGTCGAGCCGGAGTGACATCTCTATTATCGCAACATACACAAATACGCCAGCATCTTACCCTACCTGGTCTCCTTCCGCGTTCAGCGATACGATGACAGTGGACCTAGAGACTCTTTACGCGAGCACCTTGCCGCCATCAGAGACTGCGGCAGCGAAAGTTCGTCGTGATATTTTGGATCAAGGGTCTTGGTCCGATTCTGACGTCTCGAACCACGGCCAATCCCTCAGGGGAGGCGCTGAGGCAAGAGACAATGACCATTTTCGGCGAAGAGAGTCCATTCAGATTCTCAAAAGAGACCCAGGTATTCGCGATGTTCGACAGCCTCTTAGCCCCGAGGATCTGTCCGTCCTGGCCTGGGCACCCGGTGTACCGTCCGTTGACAGGGTGGATTATATTTTCTCAGAGAGAAAAGGTGAGAACACCTGGGTATACATCCTGGATACGGGAGTAAACAGCTTGCATAAAGTACGGAACCCACTTATCCAATGGTAAGTGGTCGCTGACGTCACGTTGCCCACGGTAGGAATTTCGAGGGAACTGGCCCGGCCAATATGGTCGATTCAACATCGACCCGCAGGTCTTAAGGGATCCAACAGTTGATTGGTGGAAGCCGCAATTTGCGGCTTATGGTACCCAAGGCCACGGCACATGTAGTAAGTCATGTAGCTTCTTGTACACATTCGGGGCGTAAGTTTGCTAAGCTAGGGCATCAATAGTGGCCTCCAAAGTCTGCGGCGCAAGGACCGGTGTTGCGAAGCAAGCCACAGTGATATCTGTTATGCACGCTGAAACTATTGAATCGATACTCTCAGGCTTGAATCTAATCCTGAACAATATTTTTTCTCGGCAGGCAAAGGGTCAGGCTTTGCCAGGACGAACGGTCCTGTTGATGTCGTTTGCGACAAATCGACCAGGAATCGACCGATGGCAAGCAAACTATGAGAAGGCACTCCTTCAATCCATCATGAACCAAGGCGTAATCTGTGTGTGTTCAGCGGGAAACAGTGCCGAGACACTAGGCTTCCCCCGGACGGGTTATCCAGCAGCGCTGGCCAGTGCGACGTTCCCTTTGATTCCCGTTGGTGCGGTGGACACTACTGGCAACATTGCTCGTTTCTCTCAACAAGGGATGGTTTACACCGTTGGTGTCAATTCTCCTTGTGCTTCCTTTGACAGCAATCTACTGGAAGATTCTGCCGACGGAACATCTGGAGGTGAGCGACTACACACCAAGCAGAACCCTCCGATCGACCCTGTAGGCTGACTTGGCTTGTATTATCTTTTGCGAGCAGCTGCCGCCATATTTGCAGGTCTGGTAGCCTTGAAGCTGAGCGAGCCAGGTGACGTCTACGGCTTCAACGGCGTCGACAAAAGACAATACCAACAACTCGTCAAAAACTACTACACCGTCGGCTACAACAGCCGCCAACCTGGCTTACGGTCCGTACACCCTCCCGGATCGTGGTACCGTCCCGCATCGTACGCGCCCGTGGCGTGGAATGGGCTCGACGGGTCGCAGAACAACATCTGCCCTCTAATCTGGGCGCCACAGGGGGAATTCAAGAAACGACAGACGACCGATCCCGCCACATCCTCCGACGTTTGCGCCGCGTACACCTCGCATTCGGTCATCATATACTCGCGCGCGGAGAAAAACTGTCTGGGCAGCATATCCACCTGCGCCTTCGACTACTTCCTCTACTCCGTCTCCAGCCCCACCGGCATCCCATCCGATATCTGCAACGACGATGGCTACATCGGCTCCACGCAAGAGACCAGCCAAAGCAACTCCATCGCATTTACCCTCCCCCCGACCACCGGCGGCACCACCAACGAAGACCTCAATTTCGTGTACTCTTGGACCAACGATGAGATTTCGGGCTGGATAACAGGCGGCAGCTTGACGGCACCCGTAGCCTGCGTTTCGGAACTGCCGCCGAGTGCGTCGTTGACGGACACATGTACGTTGGAAGAGCCGGATTCGCAGGCGCAGAAGAGGGCGGTAGGTCCGATCATCCAGCCGGGCGTACATCCCGTGACGTACGTATATGGGGCGTGGGCGAGGTGCGTCTGGGGATCTGTTTAGGGTGGAGGGTATCCCCTCAACTGGCACCTGGGCCGTAAAACGTCTTGGCGCGCAGGGTTGAACCCCTGAAGTTCACGCCCTGCCCGTCGATGGGATATAGGCGTGGTTGTTGCAGCGGTATATGAAGTGAGCAAAAGACCTTTTGTGGGTGTGGGTGTATCTGCTTGATGTGTCAAGCTATGAAGTCTGGCGAGCTAGATACTATGATTTTCCAAAGATGCTACTTCACGCGAAATAGATAAAGTCTAAAAGTGTCAGACAGCTACGACCATTTGCAAGTCCGGGAGAACGAGGCCAGAAGGTCTGGGGGTCGCTAAGGGCGTTAATAGCTAATCCGCACACAAGTTCAAATTTGTGACTTGGAATACATAGCACCCTCAAGATGGTAATAGCGGCTGTTGTCATGTTGTAGACATTCCAAAATTGAGCGGTACTAGTACTAGTACATGATTCGGCCCGGGTGCGGAAGTTGCCGCGGGCCTTTTGACTTTTTCAACAAATCCAATAAATCCTTCATGGCTTAGATTAGTGATCCGCCATGCGAGTGTAACAAGGAAAAAAAGGGGTGGCAGGACTATTGATCTAGACCGATGGTTGGCATACCTCGACTCGTCCTAGAATCATCTGCCGCATTTTGGAACCATCCTGGACTAATTAGTAGTCCGGGTGGACCGTCCGGACCAGTAACGCCGAAAGTGAGAACGGATCAGCCTTGGCGAAGAGCGGGAACACGATCACCACTGCAGTCAAATTGGCCATCATGTTGAACTTATTCGAGATGGACGAATTATTCATCCTGGTGACTCCAGACCCTGTTCTATTTGCAGTGGTAAATCAAGTGTTCCAGAATACAAGGTGGCTAAGATGAAGCTGGGACGACAGGGGGCCAACTTTTACCTGATCGGCTGCACTTACGCTTACCGAAGGAATCTTTGGGGTAAGATTCGTCACAAGTCTTATCGCAACATGCAGATAGGTAGTCCGCGACTTGCGATCTACCGCTCGGTGCGGTCCACCGGTTTGTCTGATCCGTCACACCCCCGGTAGTGCCCGTACAATCAACAGTCAGCACTAATGCATGTCGTGTCATGAGGGCGCGGATCGGTGTGCTTGCCATTCCTAATCCATCTGACCGAGATCCACTCATATGCCAGTCTTGCACGCACCTCGCAGCTGATTAGCTCATGCAAGCCTGCGTTTTGCCCTTGGGTCCGTTTCAGTCAGAACCAAGGCTTCGAAGGGGGTTCGTTTCCCCCACTCCTTGCAACCCGCTTACACCCCACTTTGCGTCTCTGGGGTGCCGAGTGCCGTCTCAATGATGAGCTTTGGCGAGGCCTACTTTTTCAGGCATTCAGCTTTGAAGACCTTCTTCCCAGGTAGCTAGCTAACTCGTCTCTTTCACACACCGCGAAATTCTTCTTCTTCTTGGACTTCCACTTCCTCCTGTACTTCCGCCTGCAGGGCCGCAAGACTTTCCGCTACACTCTTACAAGGCTAGCTCGAAAATCCCACTTCGCAATCTCGTCTTCGGATACTGGTTCATTTCACCGGTGATGAACAGCGACTGCTAAGTCTTGTGGTGCAATTATAAGCCAGCTGCCAGCACTCTTTAATAGTAGCGTAAACTGCAAGAAACGCAGATTCTTGTCCTATCGCCTCGTGGCTTTCGCCTCGCGCCTTGCAATGGCAGCCTTTGGGGTCGGAGCCGGAATCGTCGGTGTTATTGGGCTCACAATTCAGATCACTCAAGTCGTCGTCCAATTTGGGCTGGAGTGGAAAAATGCGCCTGCGGAGGCGAAGCGCTTTAGTCGTGAGCTCCGGAACTTAAAAACTGTGCTCTCAGAGACGAGGACAAATTTCCTTGACGATCCTACCTTCAAAGAAGCTTTTCAGGATCGGAAATCCATTCTGCTATCGGAACATGGCCCAAATGCTGCCACGGCTACTGATCCGAAATTGTCTATCGAGTCTTGCAAGGCAGAGCTTGAAAAGGTACTAGACGAACTGAAGAAGAGACATGAAGGACGTCGAATCAGCTGGGAGAAGTTGAAGGGGTTTTTCCTTGCCAAAAGCACCCAGGATTCAATGGACCACCTCCGTCGTTATTGTCAGGCCTTGAATGACATGTTTTCGATGGACGCACTGACACTGGGCGTCAACATTCATACGGAAGTGAGAGAAGCGAGGAGGGAACAGAAAGAATGGCACAATGATGAAGAAAATCGGAGAATTCTGACATGGATCTCCACCCTAAGCTTTGAGGAAAAGCAGACGGATATTCTTTCCAAGCGTTATCCCGGGACTGGAGAATGGCTGTTGGATCAGGACGAATTCCAAAGCTGGCGTAATGGTGTTCGTGATGTGCCCTCGGTACTGTGGTGTCCTGGCATAAGTAAGCTTCTACATGCCTCTCTATTGGCTTTGATGACTGACCCGTCAATAGTTGGGGCGGGGAAGTCCGTAATGACGTATGTTTACTATCATATAAACCATCGTCTCAGTCAGACCTGTACTAGACTAATTTCATGAAGGTCGATTGTCATTGAACATCTCCAACGGTTCTTCACTGCGGACAACGTGTCGATTTCCTACATCTACTGTGACTACAAGGATCGCGAAAGCCAGACCACAATCAACCTCATCTCGAGTCTGGTACGACAAGTAGTCTTACTACTGGGAGAAATGCCTGAAGAATTGCGAGACCTGTACACCGAACACCGGAAGGGTCAAAGCTCACTGTCACTCGAAGAACTCTCTAGGTTACTTTCATCCCTATCAAACCACTTCGGAAGGTCTTTCATTGTAGTTGATGCTCTGGATGAGCATTTCGACAACAAAGATGAGAAGAACGCAGGGCGGATGGCTCTACTGGATGTCCTTCTGAATCTGCCGCAATATCGGTATCAGAACAGTAACATTTCTAGAGGTTATAGGCTCTTTTTCACATCACGAGAAAATGGCTTGATAGAAGAACGACTCGAGGGATGCGTTCGCCTTGACATTCGCGCAGCAGATTCCGACATTGAATCATACCTGCGTTCTCGAATTTGCAATCCTACCGAGTTCAGGTTTGCGAAGGAGGTGCAGAACGATGCTAACCTTGGCAATCTGATAGTTAGTCGGCTAGTGGAAAAGGCTCGAGGCATGTTAGTTATCACGTCGTCCTATAAGTCTGCGTCCAGAACGTAATAATGACCTTTCCAGGTTTCTTCTACCGCGTCTACATTTAGACCGACTTAGGTGTACGACAAGTGTTCGTAATCTTCGAAAGGCATTGGAGTCTCTACCAACGAGATTGGATGAGACATACGACGAAGCAATGACTCGTATTAAAGCTCAGGTCGAGGATCACAGAGAGCTCGCATTATCCGCTCTGTCTTGGATCTCGAATGCGAATCGACCACTCCATATTGACGAGTTACGTCATGCGTTGGCCGTCTCACCTGGAGACCCAAGCTTAAACAAACAAGCACTTGTGGACCAAAAAGATATCATATCAGTATCTGCGGGACTGATTACGCTCGATGCTCAAAGTAGTACGATTCGCTTAGCACACTTCTCAGTTGAGGAGTATTTCGGGAGCAGAAAACAAATATTGTTCCCAGATGTAGACAGTCAGATCGCAAAGACTTGTCTCACTTATCTTTCATTTGATACTTTCGAAAATGGACGCTGTTCATCTGCTGTGGAGTATGAAGCTCGGTTAGAAGTCAATTGTTTGCTCGCGTATGCTGCCCGGAATTGGGTTCATCATGCCTACAGAGCGAAGGAGCATACTGTCGAGGACCTAGCTCTGGGTTTCTTAAGGAACAGTCATAGAGTGGCGTGCTCCGATCAAGTTATGCGGATGCCTGACTACATCGGGACTGAGCGATTCGAATTTCGCGACGGCCTCCTAGTACCACGTCAGGTTTCTGGAGTGCACCTTGCTGCACGCTTTGGCTTAGTAAGTATCATAGAGAGGCTTATAGAAGATGGGGCAGAAGTGGACTCCAAAGACAGTCAAGGTCAAACACCGCTATCGTACGCGGCCAAGGACGGTCGTGAGACAATAGTAAAGCTTCTTGTGGATCGGGGCGATGTGGTAGCAGACTCTAAGGATGAATTTGGCCGAACACCGCTGTCACACGCGGCCCAGGAGGGGCATGAGAGGGTGGTGAAGCTTCTTATGGATGTGAAAGATATGGAAGTAGACTCTAAGGATGATATTGGCCGAACACCGCTGTCACACGCGGCCATGATGGGGCATGAGAGGGTGGTGAAGCTTCTTATGGATGTGGAACATGTGGAAGTAGACTCTAAGGATGATTTTGGCCGAACACCGCTGTCACACGCGGCCCAGGGGGGGCATGAGAGGGTGGTAAAGCTTCTTATGGATGTGAAAGATATGGAAGTAGACTCTGAGGATGAAGATGGGCAAACACCGCTGTCATTCGCGGCCATGGGGGGGTATGAGATGGTGGTGAAGCTTCTTGTGGATGTGGAAGGTGTGGAAGTAGACTCTCGAAGGATGAATGGGGCCGAACACCGCTGTCACACGCGGCCCAGGGGGGGCATGAGAGGGTGGTGAAGCTTCTTGTGGATGTGGAAGATGTGAAGGTAAACTCTAAGGATGATCTTGGCCGAACACCGCTGTCACACGCGGCCCAGGGGGGGCATGAGAGGGTGGTGAAGCTTCTTGTGGATGTGGAAGATGTGGAAGTAGACTCTGAGGATCAATTTGGCCGAACACCGCTGTCACACGCGGCCATGATGGGGCATGAGAGGGTGGTGAAGCTTCTTATGGATGTGGAAAATGTGGAAGTAGACTCTGAGGATGAAGATGGGCAAACACCGCTATTATACGCGATAGCAGGAGGGCATAAGACGGTGGTGAAGCTGTTGGAAGAAGCGCTGAAACTTTCAAGATAGAGGAGTATGATTGGAGATCCAGTAGGGGTAGTGATAGTGGTACGCTATATCCTCTCAACTCTCTAGCGCTTGATTTCATTTTGGCATAGCACGTCGGCGTATATTTTTCCGTCTGGGCACGGAGAGAAGACTCTCCAGGTGTGCGTTCCCTAATAATCATCTCCTCTGAAGGTATCCTGCACATGAAACCCCTTTTTATTGAACACTATCGATCTTGTCTCATCAACCTTCCATTTCGCAAATCGTAGGACTCGCTAAACATCCCGTTGCCGCACGTTCTGATCACTGCTCACGTGCAATGCTGAAGGAAACGGCCGAGCTGAAGCTATTGAAGGAGCTGTTTGGCTCCTCTGTGAGCAGTCTGCCTAATTGTGTTCCCTTTTGGCTCACCTACGATTGCTAGGCTTTTCCCGGACTGCAGTCGGAGAGCTGTTGTCTCTTCTTCTTCCCGCTCTCGCCCCTTTGATTGTAAGTAGGTGAGTATTCTGCGCGCAGTTTGTAACGCTCGTTTTAGGCATCTTGCAGATTTGAGCTAGATCATTATAACGGAGGTTTCTGCTTCTTTCTTTCGTTCTCCCTCAATCTTCAGTATTTGCTGGAAAAGGTGGAAATCACGATTTGAGACTGCACCCAGTCCTTCAGATTCCCGATAAACGTGCGAGGGGCTTGACCGTCAGTGCTTAGGGTTGGCAGTCATGCCGCCTTTCACTGTCGGGCAGGACCCCTCCTCTTTAATTTTAGTGTGAACTTTCCTTCGGATGATGAGCAGCGCAATGTTGGTTGGACATTCTCAAGTTAGGACGGATTGTTTGTCAATGGCACTCGAACAAAGAAGCCTTTGACGTCTTCGGCTTTTCTAGCTATTATATATAGCAACTTACGGTCGCAAAGCGTCACCCTTGTCTTTTCATTGTCGTTGCTAACAATATAATTTTTCTGGAAAAGGAAGCACCGGAAAGTCCTTTGCTCCAAGTCTTTGCGTTTCTCAAACATGTTTTCACCCGGCCTCAACGACGGATTTCTTCTTTGTTCTCCGCTTTCTCATAAACAGCTCCTCGCCCAAGTTGATTCACCAGAAAAACCATTCACAGAAAAGCCAACCAGATCAAAAACCATCAGTTAACGTAACCATGAACTCCATCCTCGTAGCCGTCCTCTTAGCATCCACCGCCCTCTCGTCACCACCCCGCCTCCACCCTGTACCTGACACCACCAATACCACCATTCATACCCGTCAAGTCCCCACCGGCATGGGTTCCGACTCCGGCGTCTTAATCAGCACCTTCACCAACGCGAACTGCAAAGGGGATGGCGTCAGCAATGTCGACATGATCTACGACATCGAGGTCGCGCAGCAGCTGCGGTCTTATTCGTTGAGTGCCGAAGTGGGTTCCGACGATATCCTAAGTGTCTGGGCCGATATGGACTGGGATCCGACAGGCTCCAAGCCGGTTGATCCGAGCCTGAACGGCAACACCAACGCCGCTTGTGCGCAGTTCGTGTATGATCTGGAAGATGCAGACACAACAAAAGGGTGTCACACGCTTCCGAATGTGGTGGGGTGCATGATAATGTCGGTCGCCCAAAACTAATGGATGTGGTCATGGAGGGTCTGGACATGATGATGATTTGACGAGGCGGGCGTCATAGTTGTTAGGTCTGATTATCAATGCAGTTCTTCTTTTGTACGGTCTAAATTACATTTCCTCATTTGCAGCCAGTGATGATACTGCCTCTGTCCTATAAGGGAATGAATTGCTTCAGCGAAGACGGATTGGATGATGCAGTGACCAAGAAGCGACAGCTTCGCCCAGTAGCTGTGCCGAGCACCTGACTACGTTTCCAGCAGAGATTTTCATTTGACGCGAAGATCAGTCGCATTTTCAGTTTCCAAACGTCGGGTTTATTACCACCAAAAAGCCTATGCTGACATTTGAAAGAATTCTTTGCCTCATCTTGCCTCGTCGCCTTGTTTGTTGTTTGCACTTTTCGTATTTGCCACCACGACGTGCAGATTTCCGAATGCTCTTTCCTGCCAGCGCAACATCTATCTTCCAGTCATCTTTTCTTTCTCTACCTTCCCACGATTCCTATGCGACAGAAGCCAAGTATGGACGCGCTTGCTGAAATTTGGTCTCGTTCTGGACAAAGGTCTGAGGATCTCTACAAAGGCACAACCGACGAGATCATCAAAGAGCTCAAAGCCTGGATTGTAGCTCGCAATGTCAGGAACGAAACTAACATGAGACTACTCTGGGACTTTTTTGATACCAACGACGCCATCTCCGGCCTTCAAAACCAGTCTGAATATCTCGATGATCTCCGTATCGCCGCTTTCAAAGCCAAACACGTAAAAAGTGTAGAACGTGTCAAGGTGAGAGAGCTTTCGCTTATGGGCAACGCCAAGCACTGAAACCGCACCCCAGGAGTTCAAAGAAGAGAGGGACAAACTAACCCTGCGCGCATCATACCTACTTTCAACATTGAGCCATCGAGGACTCAAGTGGACGGGGATGCCCTGTACCCCGGCATGGACTGAAATGGACTCAGAGGTCTGTGCATTTTTAAAAACAAAAGATCGAAGATTCGATGCCGAGAAACAGCTGGAGATTTTGGAAATGGAACATGAAATTGCCGAATGGCGGCTGGAGCACGCAAGGAGAGAGGCAGTGGAGGCAGCTCGCCTGGTTGGAGTAGGCAATACCAACGATCAGAATGCAACTCCTCGAGCGCACCGCGTTGCCCTGGTCGGTTCTGGAGGTCAAGAAGACGGCCCGAGAGCCCCTGCAAGCTATAGTCTTCCGGCTCTTGTCGATGTTACCGGCCTCCTTCCGCGTCCGCGTCCACGCGCCGAGGACAATTCTGAGAATCCTCTCTTACCTGGTCCCATGGATACTATCGAAGAAGAGCTCAACGAAGAGGAGACGGCCGAGGCCATCGCTCGGGAAATTGACAACATGGAAACCACCGAGGAACCAGCTAAGGTCGGAAAGAAGTCAAAGGCTAAGATAAGGGATGCGCGGAGAAAGAAGGCGAGAGTCCGAGCGATGGAGACTGCTAAAGCAGAGAGAGCCTCGAAGGATGATGTCGTGGACAAGGAACTGAGTGACCAAATGTCGAAAGCGTCTGTGTCGAGTCCTAAAAATTGTGATGATTGAATACACCGAGGCATCAACTCTGTCCGATCTTCTCTTAATATCAGAATGATGGTCTTCATCGGCCTGCATACTAATACGATGCAATTGTTGCGTCCAAAGCGGAGCGTCCTTATAGACGAAGATGATTTGTTCTTGATTCATTAGCGCTGCCTGTTTCGGCCGAGCTGTGCAACGATAGAAGCCTTGTTGTATCGATCACCATGTTCAAGACTGGCAATGGATAGACAAGACCGAATTTCCTCGAAATGAGTCTCAGGCTGAAAGATACAGCAACCCCGGCAAGATCCAGAAAAAACATATCTCTTGCTAGCTCAGTGCTCTTACTCGGGGGTTCCCCCCGGAGCGTTTAAGCCAGCCGACCAGGACTTCTGTTGAGCACGCGTGACTGCAAATTTACCGGGCTTACATCAAAGATTTGCCCAGAAACCTAACGTCATTGTGTTTCGTACCAGTGTTTTCAGAAGATAAATGTTCTGACAGTCATTGTTGACAAACCATACATAGTGGATGCTTCTCGGGATTGGGTTGGCTTGAGCGCGCCCGCAAAACCTGCTTGTGCCCGCTGATTCTCGTGGTGCAGGACTTGGCATGCATAAACAGGATCTTTCGGGTGGAGAAAGGGGGTTTTATGCGTCATCCATGCAAGACGATGACATGTGGGCTTAGCATCTCAGCCTTGTGTGTCTCTGACCGCGAGCGGCTGGAGCTTTGGACCCTCGCCAAGCTAAAATCACCAATCCCCCATCTTCATCGCGACTCTGCTGAGAAGGCAATGACTTTCGATGGTAGATCTCCCTGCCTTTAGTGACCAAAACCTAGCTTGAGCCTTTTTGCTTGCGACTTCCATCACGCCAAGACTGGCAGCAACAGCAGATATGTCATTTGGTTTTAGTACTGGGGACATTCTAGCAGTCTCGAAGCTTGCGCATGATATCTGGGGTTAGATCCGGGACTCCTCTGATCAGTTCAAAGCGATACGGACAGAGTAAACTCATTGAGATCTTCCAAGACAATTGCTAATCAGGACCAGAGTCCGAGGTCTCTATATTGTCCTTGATGATGCTGCCCAAAGCCTACCTGGACCAAAGCTCGACCAAAAGCAGATGTCTCGTCTGGCATCCTTGGTACAAGCCTGTCAGGGTGTCCATGATGATACGAACGCTGTACTCGAGGAGTTTGAGAGTCTTGGTGTAAAGTCATCAAGTCTAAAGGTTATGACGCAGAAGGCACGGAAGAAGATTACTTGGGATGAGGAAGGTACCGAAGTTCTTCGAGGTCGCATCATCTCGAATACCATGTTTCTCAATGCCTTCTCTAAAATGGACTTCTCCATTGAATTTCTCCTCGCAGAAAAGTGCAATCCTGGGTCAACGACAAGAAGGAACAGAGAAATGGCTGCTTGAATCGGGAGGGTTCCAGGGGTGGATGAGCCACAATCGAGCGACACTGCTTTGCATAGGCATGTCAGGTGCAGGTGGGTAACCTTCGCCTTAGAAGTGGACTCTCAATGGAAGATGACTGGCTACCAGGGAAGACCGTGCTGGCCTCGATTGCTATCGAACATCTGGTCAATACATTTCGCAGCCAGTGAGTTATTGGAGTAGCGTACATATTCTGCGACTACAGGACACAAAATGAGCAAACACTTCTGAATCTACTTACTAGCCTTCTGAAGCAACTCCTTCTACACAAGTCTGCGGTTCCTGAAGGTATACGAAGTTTGTATGAGCAGCACAACAACGGAAGTAAAACCGCTCAGCCAATTCTCGATGAAGTCTTCGAGTCACTTCAATTGATAGCTGCAAGCTTTTCGCAGGAATGTATTGTGGTAGACGCACTCGACGAAGTGCAGCAACATGGCAAACTGCTCCAAAGCTTGTTGCCGAAAGTTTTTGAACTACAAGCCACAAAACCCTTCAACTTGATGCTAACCTCGCGTGAGATTCCGCGGCTAACGGAGGAAGTTCACAGCCATTTTACCCTGAAAGTGCGTGCCAGCGACGACGACGTTAGAAGACATGTGGACGGGCGTATGGACGAGTTGCCGAGATTTGTTTCTAGAGATCCGAAGATGCAGCAAACCATCAAGGATGCTATTGCATCTGCGGTAGATGGAAAATATGTCCCTTCCAGGATCTGGAGCCATTGGTTCAGATTGTAATGCAGAAAGCCAGGTTTCTGCTGGCCCGGCTACATTTTGAATCTTTGGTTGAGTCGTGGTGGGGTACAACAAGGAACTTCTTGATGTTCGGTCGGAATCCCTGAATTTTTACCCCCTGGGGGACGATTGGATATAGGCCCCTTTCCTGCACCGGCAGGTGGCTTTTCATTTGTGTTGATCTCTTTCAAAGATATAGTACACTTTTTGCACTGTCTACGCCGGACAGACACTGGGATATATGTTAGCGCTGGGGTACGAGAACATCCCTGTTCAGGCATGTACTCAATCTGCTCTCCTCAGCGTTGACCCCGCTCAACCACTTCTTGACATTCACCTGGGTGTCCCATATGTGTGTGATATCCGTGAAGATGAGACCACTAACAACCGTTTGTGCTATGAACCCACCAAAATCATTCCTGTTGGCTTGCGTAGTGACTTATGTCAAGGTGTCGCAGAATAGACAAAGTGCCTAGGAATCCAACAGGTTTGATCCAGACAGGTCTCTACGATGCTCCCGTGAACGAGTCCCTGCTTGCTCCAAAGCCCGAGGTTGTGGTGCGCATAGACTCTCCCTAAACATTAATTGACGCATGAAAGAAATGTCGATAAAGTCGCCTTTTGCGGAGTGTGTTGTAGGACAACTTTTGAATCTATTATGCCGATGCTACCAAATATCCTACACTCTATCGAATCTATACCAAAATCTGTGATAGCGAACACAAACCATCAGCACACCTCACGACTCAAGGCAACGCAATTTCTCAAACAACTTGACCGCATCCTCATTTTGCGCCACCAAATCCCGATCCCAGATCCAATGCATACTAGTGTCGAGATACTGCTTCATCTTTTCCACGTCGTCACCGACCCCAGGCAGCTGCATCGAGAGCATATGTCCCGTCTCCCTGCTTGTTTGCACTACACGCTGGGAGCGAGGACGGCGGATCTGGTCGTACGCAGCGAGCGCTGTAGGTACGTCTTTGGGTGTGACGACTTTTGTAAACAGTGCGGAGAGCACACAGGCGTCTTCGATGGCTTGACCGGCACCTTGGCCTTGGAAGGGTGTCGTGGCGTGCGCTGCATCGCCCATCATTGCGACGCGACCTCTGTGGAAGAATGGGGCGGGAGGACTGTCGAAGAGGGCCCAAGCGGAGACGGTGGGGAGGTTGAGGAGCTAAAATTGAATGGTGAGCGTGGGAGCAGGGTTTGGTAGGGGCATTGGAGAGGTACTTTTACGATCTTTCGTGCAGGTTCGCCCCAGTCCTTGAACGAAGAAGTAAGCTCCTCATGGTCAGCGGGCACAATCCACTTCTCATGCGGCCACTTTTTGAGACCAAAGTGGAATACGCCACAATTAAGATTTTTGCCGAAGTCGATGGGGTAACTGAGAGCTACCTGGCCTTTATGGCTGTCAGTCTTGGCAATGTTGGATCATGATTAGGTATTTACCTGGACCACAAAGTACAACGGCATTCTGAGCGTCCTCGGGCCCTATTACTTCAATCGCCCTATCCATTGGCAACAGCCCCCTGTATATGACTGCTCCGGAGAAGACTGGTTTGGCAGCCTCCTCTCCGACCAGCAACTCTCGTACCCTGCTGTGTACGCCATCGGCTCCAATGGCTACATCAGCAGTAGCAGTGGTACCGTCATTGAAGTGTAGTATCACACCATCTTCTGTCTCTTCAAGATCCTGCAGCCTTTTGTTGAAATGAGCGCGCTGAGCGGGGACTTGTTTGACCAGCTCGTCGAGGAAGCGTGCGCGATGTACGCTCTGACTGCGATTTTTTGGGGCACTGATGAGTGCGCCTTCTTTTTCTCCTACGCCCTTTGATTCTAAGGATCAGTAGGTGTCACTGAGTCTTGAGATCAAGCCATGACTTACGACCCTAAAAACCTGGAATATATCGGAGTGAGAGGACCAAAGATTTCTAGTGGCATGCTTCTCCATCGCTTGCCATGCGGCGGACCCTATGAGCTGGAGTGCTCGCTCGGCATTGTTTCCTATTACGACTCCAGCACCAATCTCGCTAAACGTGGAAGCGGCTTCGTATACTTGCACATCGACGTGTGGCTGTTTCAGGAGGCCGATAGCCAGACACAGGCCACCAATGCCTCCGCCGATGATGGCTAACCTGATGGCCTTCTCCGAAGAGCTGATACCGTTGGTGGCATGTGGGATAGATCCCATTGTCCGATCTTACAAGGCTGCGAGGCAACGGTGGAGCTGTTCGGGTTGTGGGAACTGATGGGAGAAGTATGTTGCGGCACTGGTCAAAGTTGAAGATGTGGAAAAAACGTCTTCTGGCATTCTGCTTATATAGGTTAGAGCTAGTTCCATGCGAATCCTTCAGCTGTCCACACAAGCATGCAAAATATGCATGCTGCAGATGGATGTTCGAGAGGATTCCTGATATGCGAACAGCCGAGTCCATCCGACAGACGTCGTTCCAGAACGTGGTCAAGAAACCAGTACTCTACAGAAGTCCTTCGGAGAACCCGAGGTTCTGCCGTGAAAAATCCACTAGTGTGAGAGCAGATATTCGCGTGGCGATCAAACAAAATACCGGAGAATTCTGGAAAACTTGTCAATTGTGTTTTGAGATGAAAGATCGTCAGTGCTGTGTGAATGCACGCAGCCATCTTCGTGCAGCCGCTGCTTGAGACTTGCGGTGAGCCAGAATTTTCAACCCCGAGACCGAGATTCCTGGGCCTAGATGCTCCACTTCGCACAATCTGCTCCCTCTTGCACTCATGCCGCGACAGCATTAGACCTTGTCCCTACTCGCAGTCTGAGGCTGAGAGAAAGGTAAAGGGATATCATATAGACGGTCTGTTTTACAAAAGCTGCTTGATCATACCGCACGCAACACCATCACCGCGAAGCAAAGAAAATGGCAATCATTGCTTGATTGTTGAACCACAGCGTAGAGAACAATATTTTGAAGTAGAGTATGTCTCCAATCAATCCTGGCTACCGGAGAGCAGACTAGAGACATCTACTGTCTCGTGCCCAATGGCCAAGTCACAACCACAACGGCCCACATCATTCTCAAACGGACGAGGAAAAGTACGTGCTGCAAGGCAGAGGTATTTTTTGTTGGATGATGAGACAGAAATGATCAATAGTGTAGGATGGTGTTTATACCAAAGAGCACTGCAAAGGCCTTCCGGTTGGATGGTGAAACAATGACCGTTTCGAACCTTCATACGCCAAGCGGCTTCGGGCATCTGCTGTCAGCACTTGGTTATCGCACCACCCAACACAATCTTGCTCCAGGCGGGCCTAGATGTAAGGATGTTGTAAAGTGGGTCGCGAGTGGTTGGAGCAAGAAGTTAGCTTACGGCGTTTAGCAGTATGCGCTATTTGCATTGAAGATCCCACTGCAGTAGATCTGCATTGTAAGCACAATGCAGCTCGAAAGTGCGACCAGTGTCGGGTCGATGGTCACTTCGGCGCTTCCGTGGCTAATGTTACCTTACTTGAAGCGTGATCCGTCAATGTGACGAGGGATCTCGGCTGCATCTATTACCCTCGTCTCCGAATTGGACTCCACTTCCTACCGGCCGTACCTTGCATTTGCAATCGACGGAATATATTCAAACATAGCGCTATCGAGATACCTTGAAGGTAAGATTATTGGGTTCATCTGAGTAAGCTTACGATGCCATGGTCACTTGGCATTAGCGCTTATTTGTGACGTCGGAAAGACTAAAGATCTTCCTTGAGATCTTAGACCATGCTCACCTGCGTGAAGCCTCCTTCTCACGTCCTAAGGTACATCGTCACATAGTGCTGCCCCTGATATATTCGGCATAGCCTACGAACCTCATCCAGCGGAAGGCTTGGTTTCGGTTTTCGGCTCGGGACTGAGCAGGCTCGAGGATTTCAGTCGATAATACACACGATACTGTAATACGTAGTGTACACACCATTGAAGGAGGGATAGATCGATTCCACTAATCTATCCGGCCCAATCCGTCTAACACTACGCGTAAACGTATGCGATCATCTAGCAAGATCAAAGTAAAGTCCCCAGGCAAGGACTTGTGAGGGATGAGATTGTCTGGCTCTGCTGCTGCACTGAACAACCAGGAACAGGTACAACCAAGGTCTCGAGGAGGCCCTACTTAGCTTATGAACATATTGCACTGTACCATTAAAGTACTTTAGGCCGCTTCGAACGACAGAAATTTGAACAACACAAGACTAAGATGAAAGTGGAAAGATGTCCGAGCGTTAGCGTAGTGCTTATCTTTCTACCCGCTCGTCTCAGGGACCGTGCACGAAATTCAGGACAGGTGGGAACAGACGATGAGCACAGGAAGACTGTCAATTCTGCCATCAGAGGAAGATGAAGTATAACAACCAACTCCCTAAGTGTTCTAACTGCATCACGTACGGACAAGCATGTACCTACACCCAAGGACCAAACAAATTCTAGGACCTCGAATGATCGCATACCGCGCCTCGGAGAGGAGAATCGGCAACTGTTTACCTTTCTTGCCGATTCTAGCCAGTTGAGGACCAAGAGGCGCAAAGAAGCGTGCGAATGACAAACATTTCGATTGGGAGAATTCCAATAGGAGAAAATCCTCACCCAATTGCTCAACCCAGCCTCACGGATGACGCCCCTACCTCCAAGAAAAAGCTCCTTGCTGAGTCCCGCGAGAGCAGACATATCAAGGATAACCGAATTCCATGGCCCCTCGAGCGTCCTCTCGATGAGGATGCTTCAAACATAAGAGACATCAAGGACCCGAATGATGGCCGGCATCCTCTTAAGCCAATCTCATTAGAACTGATGGCCAAGGCTGCCACCCAACGTACATGCTCATTCATAGTTCTTGAGTCTCCGGTACCCTTCTCGATAACAACGCTGGCATGCTGCCTTCTTGCTTGGCCAACTCGAGAGTATCCAGCTGTTGAAGGACCGTATGGGGATCAGTCTTCCAAGTCGAGGACCTCTTCAGTCGGTCTCTGCACAAATTCAGCAAGAGACCACGCCACGGTCGCAAATTGCGACGCGGAAAAGTAATCGAGAAAAAGTCTTGCAAGGTAATCAATCAGGATTTGGACAATTATCTTGGAGCAAGTCAGATCGAAGAGTCGGGCTATGATTAACGTGACTTTGACGCGTCGTTGCAAAGCTTTGACCAAATGTTGATGGGAAACGGCGCTAACCCCGGACCCCAGACCGCGACTATTACAAGCGCGCAACAGCCCTCGTCGGTCCAGTCGACATGCCAGGTGACTCATCAGCATGTCTCATACAATCGACGATGCTCTCGAACAGGATTTCAGTAATGCAACATCCCAGACCACGGAAACTCAAGATGAGCTATTCATGAGATACTAGCTGTTTCCTGAACGTATTTATGGAATGTTTCTATCCAGAAGTCACCGTGCCATTAATTGGTTGGAACTTAGATTTCGAACTTGCTATATACACCAGCGTTTACTGTATCATCTGTAGCCCTTCTACATGTTTCGAGTAAGCCTCCATCAACCTAAGCAACCCTTTTCCCTTCTTCTTCTTCTTCTTCTTGCTGGACGATCCCGACTCGGAGCGTCCTGAGGGCACACTCTCCTCATTCTTTTTGCTATGATCTACATTTTCCATTTCTCTCCCTTTCTCTTTGACAGGAGCTGCGTCTTTTTGAGATGCAAGATAGTCATAATACCGTTGCAGTCCTGCGCAAGTCAGTAACAAACCTCGATCATCAATGCATCGCGTCTTCGCATACCTGGGGAAACCGTCACAGCTTTCTCCTTCAGCACATCTTCCCTCCTACCTTTCTGGGCAGGACTAACATTTCCAAGTTTCACAGCCTGCCTCTTGCGTCTGAATACGTCTCGAATCGAAGTTTTGGTTTTCGTCCTCGAATTGCTGACCCCCATCAAAGGCTCTCGTTCATCTGCCGATGCGTCTGAAGTTGGCGAAATCTCCGGGAGAAAGTAAATAATGCTGTCAGTAGAACAGGGCTCTAACAATTCTGGCGCAGTAACGGATCTCAGAGCGGCAGGGCGATCCACACGCTGGCGCAATGGCTTTGGGCTAGGATCACGCAATGCCATGAGAGGGCTGAGAGGGCTATCAATCGTGTTTTGGCGAGAATGGACGCCCATATACGTCTGCTTGAAGCTTGGAGCTTCTCGCCCTTCCCCGTCAAGGGAGGCGGTATCAGCATCTCCCACACTCGAAGGCGAAGAAGTGGTCTGGCTTGGAGATCTACTAGCCTCGTCTGTGGGGGGAGGCATTTTGATGTTCAAAGGTTTCGGGACAAGCGAATGGCGCACAACGTCAGTGACCCTAGGTGCCATTGGGGATGTGGAATGCGGGAACTCGTCGTTGTCGAAAAAGGGGTCAAATCTCGGCAGCACTGCGGACTTGACATGGTTGTGTTTTCGTACTCTAACGGGGATATCGGGTGCTCTTTTGTTGGTTTGTTGGCTCTCAGGAATGCATGGTGTGCTCTCCACAGGGGATTGGAGACTCGGGCTCGGACTTGGCGTGTGAAATGGGCCTACGCCATTATTTCCATGACTTGGTTTTGGAGTGACTAGCACCTTTGCAGGAGATCTAGACTCGCCTTTTGGAACTGAACTGGTCCTGGCCACCGGAGAAAAGTAATTACGTATGTCATTCTGGCCCTGTTTGACTTTCGCGATAGGTCTGAGGTACAAATCGATGGTGGTTTGAGAGTGCCCTGCTTTATGAAAAGGAAGCCGCTGCGGTTGAGAGTTTTGTGTTCCAGCTTGTCGCAAAGGCAAAGCATCCATTTTCGTCGTCTAATACTTACTATACTGATGTTGTGACTGAGAGAATAATTACCGGTACAAGGAGGAATTGAGAACAGATCATATGAGATTTTCGTAGCAGATACAGAATGCCGCTTCATCAAAGGCACAAGGAACTTTTTTAGAACTAAGGTACGTTCTTTCTCGCCTACTAGGTCGAAGATACTGTTGTTGGAGAACAAAGGATCATCTTACATGTCTCAATCAAATCTCCAAACCGAATCTTATTCAACTCAAACAAAGAAAGCGCTTCAGGTCCTCAATGAATGGATCCAAGAAAAGAAGTCTTGAGCGCGACAACCAGTCTTTGGCATCGTCAAGGCTCTACGCCGTTGCTGCATTCTAGGTCACTGGACCTATCCGTCCCGTCGTGAAGTTTTCGGTTCCAAACTGCTGCCGCAGTAAAAGAGATAGCTCCGAACCTGACGTATTCCGCATCGAATACACTCTCTGTTCCTGTTGATTTCACATGACTTTTGGCGTCGTCTCCGCTCTGCGAAGCGGTCTACTGATGCGCCGACTCCCAAGCGAGAGCCAGATCACGAGTACCAATGGATCTCTCAGGGCCAGGTACTGGGAAAGACTCGAGGGGTAAAATAAGAGACCCGTAACCCGAGTATTCACGTTAACAATCAATCTCCACTCATCGCGCTCTGCTGCTTACCATTCTCGCAGAAAAAGACACGCCGGTCTCGTATCTCGGTCCCGGGCTGATGATTCATTCGCACATGCTATCACTTCTCCAGGTGCCCAGAATGCCTGCTTGCCACGGATCTTTGCCTGCGCAGTGTCCTGGCTCCAGTGGGAATAATTCCCGGTATCTATGACTGCCTCGACAATGACGAGAGGAAGAACGACCCGGCCAACCAGATTGCAGAAAAAGCCCGGTGGTGTTTCACAACATAACACCAGTTTGTTCAACTCACGCTCATTGCTGATCTACTTGTTCATATTCGCGCCTCAAGAACAAAGCGACGAAACCACGACAAGAAAACAGGAAGCCAACATTTGCGAGACGCTTAAAACGTGAACCTTTGTCCCCGGATAGGTGGTAGTATTTAGCGTTTGCCTTTTTCGATCAAGTAACGCTTTGCCATAGCAGAGCAAGTCAGCGGATCCACATTATACCTGGCGAGATCAACGACTTGTCCGGGTGTGACTATAAAGGTCTACGAAAGTAGAATCAACCAAGCTACTTCGCCCGTAATGAGCGTTGGAAAAGGAAAGCCGTCAAATAACACGGATGTGCGGCGTTGGGATTTCAGCTTGGTGCTGATGCCTGGATATGTCTCATTGGTCCCGTAGTATGTTGCTGGCAGCCAGCTGAGGCATCCCCACCGTTTGGATGCTGTTTGTGTCCAGCACATCTATTTGCTGTTCCCTGGATAGATTATCCACATACGATGTATGAGCATGTGACGCCGAGAAATTTTAATACCACAATCTGTCTAGTCTTCCATTGACACGCCAAGTTCCTTAGTGGTGTCAAACGTTCAGCGAAAGAGCGGCAGCAGTGCAAAGGAGAATGGCAAGACGGCCCAAAACCGTAAACCATGTCTCTCCCAAGGCAAAAGGAAATCAACGCCATTCTCGGATACGCAGATCTCGTACAGTGACAATGACAATAGGCGCTTCCAGTACTATCCGTGGTTTTCCTCTTTGTGCGTCCATGGCCTCCATTGTATGATTAACACAGACCGACAACACTTTTCCTGAGCTGTACCATTCACCTGATCCGTGAAGTCCTATGCTGTTGTTAATAATCAACAGGGTACCCCCAACTCCTTTTCAGAAATACCGAAACCCTGACATCAACAGTGGATTGCTCCGCCATGGCCCAAATCTTTCTTGATGGGCTTCCTCAAGTCAACTTCGAAACCTTACCATCGGAAAGCAGATGCATGATTTGCCTGGAGGTGTATGGAACCAATCTAGAGGATGATGGTGCTGTGGAAGTCGTGGTTCGCCTGCCCTGTGGTCACCACGTCGGCGCTCAGTGTATTCGAATATGGTTGTCTCCCAATGAAGAGGCCAGAAACTCATGCCCAGCTTGCAGAAGGGCATTCTTCCCAGCCCAACCTCGGCCATATATGGAGCATGGAACAATTGAGCAGGAGGAAGATGACTTGGAGGACGAAGAAGATGACTGGCATGGACCCAGCGGCAGAACGAATCATCCCCGTAGAGCGAATCTAGGCGTCTTCTTCCTGGATGTTCTGCGCATGGTTGGGGAAGCTGGCCAACCTCCACGACCAGGGCAAGAAGTGCCGCAAATGGAGGCGATGGAGGAGTATACGCAAGACCGAGTACGGGGTTGGTGGCCTGAGTTCTTTCAGACTACCACCGAACAGTACCAAGAAAGTATTCGACGTGCCAGGGCGGTCATCACAACACCCAGAGTACCGCCTCCAGGAGCGAGCGTGAGTCATTGGTCGCCATACCCCTACTTACAACTCAGCGGATCTGAGTCAATCAATCCCGAGGAAGGAGACCCTCAGCATCTGGATAAGGTTGTTCAGGCTTTAGCGACCGCCTTTCGGACACTGTCTTTCAGGGAGACCATAGTATACTCGATTCTCCGGGATTCCGGTGCTCGTGATCGATTTCCGTCATCATCGGAGGATCTGCTCCAGCCGCTCAGCGCCGAGCAAGAGGAGGCGCTCTTCCGAGAGATGGAGAGAAGAGGAGCTTTGGGGATGGACTTTGGGCGTGAGTATAGTGGCTTGAATAACAGCCAGAGATGGCAGGTGCATCGTGAGGATGGAGAGACGTGGAATCCTTATAGCGGGTTGTGGTCCCCGGATTGGAGTGAGTGATTGCAGAAGGGGACAACGCAGAGGTAGCTTCCGTCATCACGGACTCGTGACATTGTACACAATCATATCGTTTGCTTGGCATGTTAGGTGTTCTAGATCGTCGTTAGATTGAACAAGATGAGAATTCTAACGTTAATGATGCAAGAAGTTCGACCATTTCATACCATATGATGGATTATCCGGAAGTTGACGTGGATAATTTTCCTCTTTTCGCTGACATGCTTCAGTTGTCGCCACATGCTTCCTGATTTACTGTGAGTCGAAACGTGATACTCATCGGTCGCGGTTGGTATCAGAGCGCACTCATAGAGAAGCCCTTCAAGGTCTTTCCTAAGGAGCTTCTATGTGCCTTTAGGAAAGAAGTCTCAATATCCTAGCAAGGTCAACCCTGTTCGAATTATGAACTTTCCATCTACCACGTCAGCCAACATACCAATCCTTCTCGGGTCATTGATATTCATGCAGGAGGTCGGTCGATGCATATTTCATAACAGACAACCCCTACCTTCGTTTTCCCCAAGATGAGTCTCATCAGGAAGCAGTCCGGCAATTTCTTTCCCGCCAGTCACCCTGTTGAGTCTCTTGGGTCCTCTATTATACACATAACTGATACGCTCCGCACAGATGCGACCCTCGTATTGTATATTGTGTTATTTCGCCCTTTGCTGAGTTTGTCACTTTTCTTTATCGGGTACGTCAATTCAGAAGTGACAAATTCCTTCTTCAACTGTGGCAAAAATTCTGCCCTAGTGGTAAATCGTTTTCGGCATCTATAAAACAAGTACTTAACACTTAGAAAACCATAACACTTTGCATCGGTCCTATTTAGACCCAAATGACCTTCTCGGTCCTTGACACTCTGGAAGTTACAGCACTTTCGCCTTGTCCTATTGAAACCCCAAATACCTTCTAGATACTTTACTTAAAACTCCCAAAACCATAACACTTTTCCTCTATCACATTTAAAACACTTTTCGAATCCCTTCCCCAGAACAATTTCCACCTTCTACCGTCAGCTTCGATCTTCGAAAATACGCAATTTCTATTTGCAGACTGTCTCCACTAAGATTTATCTCTACCAGCGAAGCCATCTCCATGAACACAACAACAAGGCCTCGTCAATAGATACTTTGTTCGAGAGTATGCCTGTAAGAGGAAACCACTTGGAGAAATGGCGTGTGCTCCGAACGATTGGAGAAGGTGCGCAAGGGAGATGCAAACTGGTGGAACGAAAGAGCGACGGCGAACTTGCGGTTCGCAAGCAGGTAGACTGGTACACAAAGATCAACAGCAGTCCCCTAGAAGCGATAATTTTAAATGACGTCCTACCTCCTAGTAGACGGGTCGTGAAGTTGATTACTTTCTGGTTCACACCATCCCCGCGCAACGATGACTATCTGATCGAACTGTTTGAGTACTGCCGAGGAGGAGATTTGAAGCATGCCGTTACCCAGTATGGCAGGCTTTCCGAGGACTTCATCTGGCATTGCTTCATCCAGATTGCCGAAGCCCTGGATGTAGTGCACAATGCTGGCTCACAGTTGGTAGTCCACCGGGACGTCAAGCCCGATAATATCTTCCTCGAGCAGAAGTACCGTCACGCAGCTCCTTGGCCTAATCTCAAATTAGGGGACTTCGGGGCGGCCACGTTGAAGCCGCACACAGAAGCCATGCTCATGCGGTGCTGGCAAGGTCCAGAATTGCCACACCATAGTACGGCAGGTGATATATGGGGTTTAGGCGCAATTATCCATTGGATGGGTTACAGACGACCTCCTATCACTCCACGTCCGGCAAGGTTCTCACAAAAAGAATGGGAGAGCCAACCAGCAGCTAGGAGGCCAACGCTACTGCCGAACTCCTATTCCCTCGAGCTGAATGACTGCATGATGGAATGTTTGCGATGGGATCCGCGAGACCGAATATCGAGTCACGAGCTGGTGAAACGCCTGAAGAGAGATAGGCATGGAAAACGGCGCTAGTGGGAATAGACTTGCTCTGAGTTTAGACGATCCGAGTCAGTGATGGTAGAACGACTGGGGATGCTTTGGGCACGCTTTGGCGTTGAGATTCCACCAAGTGCGTCTTGGGGGTGACGAGATAAAGTGCTCTGAGGCGGAAATTTGGACTCGGATACTTCTTCGATGGCTCCACGTGCGCTCATGCTTCTTTATTTAGGCGACTAGAATAATTCATTGATTACACGATTTGTGATTGGAGCTTTTGTTGTCGATTGTATGGTAGCAAGTACATTTTACGATCTCTGCGGGCCCTCAGTGCAGACCACCCATTTGGTCACCCTCGAGTAGTGCGTAGGGTGTACTGACACAACGTACAGATACTATTAGCCTGTGCTTGAATCTTGAGGCCTCTAGGCATTGAGAACATGGGGCCCCCGTGTGGTACTTGATGCATCCCGCCTGTGTCGTTCCGAAAGATACTTCGATAGATACTTCGGAATGACTCTAATACAATTTCGATCATGATAAGAGCTGTCAATTGATTGAGTTTCTACATACGCTATCAACTCCATGTAACACTCCCTCCAGAATTCCACCTTCTTTACCATCTCAACAATCACTATCAAGTCGTCGGGAATAGATTTGGGACGGCGTTTATCTTGCACTTGGTCTCACGAGTCTCCGAAGGAATGAACTCTTGATGAAAGCTTCTCTGCGATTATCAATGCTAGCAGAAGAGAAGGCACCAGAACATCCGCGTACACAACATTGAGTCACAGCGACAGACAAAATTTCACGAAGACCATTCTCACATGGCCTCAACTGATGTAGATCCAGCACTCGAGGTAGGCTAACACACGATGACTACGACTATCTCAACGCCCTTGGATCAGTGCCTCGTGCTCCAAGGCTTCAGTCAACTGAGAGGTTCTACACACTGAGTTGCCAGAGACACTGTTCCTAAATCACATAGAATCCTTTGCTATCAGATACTTCTGACCTTCGACATACCGCACTTGGAGTTCTAGATCTGCCACCAGGTGAGTCGACCAAGTACTTGCGCTTGCACCAGACAGCTGATAGTCGATTCGGGGATTTGTCTTCAAATTTATGGCTATCTCCTCTTAACCGTACAATCAGTGTCCTAGCCAGCCAGACCCCTTATAGGCCCTTATAAGGATTTGGTTCCGACTCCCATAATCGAGCATCGTGATAACAAACCAGGAGGCATGAAACCTTCTACGGTGACATTTCCCTGGTCTTCATAGCAACCCGTCCCTTCCCGGACCTACCCCGCCATTGTTTCCTCCTACAAAGCCATCCACGCCGAAGCTATTTCTTTATTATATGAGAAAATTGTCTTCAACTCCTACCTGCCACAAGGTGCCAGGGATGAAGTTGCTTTGGCCCACGACCTTTCTGAACAGTGCAACAACACATTTAAATACAAGGACGAGTGTTGGCGGGCTGAAGGTCCTTTCCTGCTCAAAGACTCAACATCCGCGTGCTTCCTCAACAGGGTCGGGGCCCGCAATGCCGCAAGCTTGCGGGCAATGTTGATCCATGCAAATAACGGCAACATCGGCGTACCTGATCCGTGGCTGCCCATTGCCAGAAGATGTCGACTACAGTGGGTACGGCTTCCCTAACCTGGTACGGCTTCCCTAACCCGGTATGGCTCCAGATCGGCCCCAGGACCCTTGTGGGTATCCGAGAGAAAAGGCAACATTCGTATCTACAGGAAGCCATGAAGATGTTGGAAGAGCGAAAGGAACGAAAAGACCACCGATTGAGAAATGACTGATAGCTCGAAAAGGAAGCGAGAGACGGACGCCAACTGGATGTCTTCCCGAGAGGAGGCGTCCACCCACAATACCAAAGGTCCGAAGCGAGCACGAGGGCAAGAATCTCCATCGAACACGCAAACGGCCGCAAAGTATACCAACCGGTCAAGGTCCAAAAAGTTTCAACCGCGCCAGGATAGGCCCCGCAACGATACCTGCAGCGAAGTCAAGCAATACCGTCTGGACCCACACCGAACGTGCAACAGCAGCGGAACACGGCTGCAGAACCACTCCCTCCCCCCCCAAGAAACGGGACGCCACAAGGACAAAACACGTAGCCTGGGCCGAAACCGCAACCCGGACAGAGCGTGAATGGGCAGGTCGGGAATCAACCACCTCATCCTACCCTCTGAGTCTCCGAGCGGGAAAGCCAAAGCAGGGAAAAGGAAAGCCACAAACGCGAACGCGGCGAGACCCCGACTCTGCCGCCGACATTCGTCTCCATCCCTTGAAAACGTAGGGACGCCATTTTCCCTTTGGCACGAACATGCCACAACTTGGCACCGGTCGTGTACTATACACACCGCCTTCTCCTCCCTGGACGGGCCTCGGTGCCCTCCAGCGACAAGTTTTAATAACGATGAAGGCGGTGGAGCGAGCACTGGTCGGAGCAAGAAGGAGGAGGAGGAGGAGGAGGAGGAGGATAACGGAGGAAGTGCTATATGGGTCTCGAACCGGTCACCAAGGAGGGAGAATCTACAACACTCGACGATTGGCCTAAGCATGATCGACACGATGACGGATACGGATGATGATGGTAACTCTGTTCTCAATGATAATGATAGATATTATACCATCTCTGTGGGTTGGTGGCGGTTTCACGCACGGAATCTAAGGGCTGCGACAGGAAGGAAGGAAGGAAGGAAGGAAAGACTGTGGCGCCCTCTCGACGGAATCGTGATAAATCCAGACTGGTAGAGTGCTCAAAGCTCAACGTGGGATACATGAAGACGGTCTGTGACGGTGGCAAACCGACCGAAAACAATGCAATCATGGGATGAGGGGCTCGGGCAAGGTGTGATGCGTGGTTCTGTGTTATGCGCGGCGGTGGTGGTGAGGGTGGGGGGGGATTGTGTTTGAACTTTTGGCTCGGCGGAGAGATTTGCATTCGGAGGCTGGGCGGGGACGACTGCGGTGGAGAAAAGAGAGAGATACAAGACCGGAGGACTAAGGATTCAGAGTGAAAGGCTTGCTCGCTCGAAGGTGATGTAATCGACGATGAGAAGGACAACTTATGCGGCAAGAGAGGCAGAAACAATGTTTGTACTTGCAGCCTGATTGCCTTGATATCACTCAAGGACCCCTCACACGCTCAAACATCTCCATCGTATGCTCCCAAACCTTCGCTCCGGCATCCTGACTCCTCATCTCCTTCAGCACCTTCTCATTAGCCCTTACATCTCCGTCCGACCCGATCAGATAGGCACCACTGCCCACCTGCCCGGCACTGCCCTTCTTCACCTCACCCTCGCGAACCTCTACACCGCACTTCTGGCCCGCACGTGGCGGATAGGCCGCACTGGTCGCGGCAAACAGATGCCTCTCCCCGCTCTCCTCGATCCCTACGGTCCAGGGCGAGAGCAGGGCAAGGGCTACCTGGCTAGCGGCTCTGACCGCGAATCCGGCCTCCTTTGCAAAGCCGGTCTTGACGGCGCCGGGATACGCGTGCACGAACGACACGCTCGGGGTCTTCTTTGCCATTTCCTCGAAGGTGAAGTCGGTCATGGTGATCGCGTGTGCCGCCGCTTTCCGGAGTGAGAAATCCCGCTTGAGGTCGAGATTGTCAAAATCCAGGAGGGCTTCTTCGCCAGGGGCTAGCACCGAGACCACACGGGACAGCTGTGGGGAGGCGGACTCGAGGAGTGGAAGGAGCTGTTGGGTAAAGCGCATGCGGGAGTAGTAGTTTGTTGTTAGCTTTTTGTCGAGGCCTTCGGAAGTCTCTGCCAAGCGTGTCGTCAACACATGATGTTGGGCCGGTACTGAGGACACGAGATGAGGAGACTTACCATCTCGACCTTTCAAGGACATCGTCCCCTGTGACATGAACAGTAGGTTAAGATTCGCCTCTCTCGCTTTGATCTCATCGCAGACTTCGTCTACGTTCTTGAGGAGGGTAAGGTCTTTCCGGATGAAGGTGGTCTCGGCATCCGGTTGGATGGTCTTGAGCTCTGAGATGATTCGACCGGCCGCATCTTGGCTTCTAGATAGCCACGTGGTCAGGTCACATTGACATAGTCTTATCTCACGACAGTCGGGGCTTTGAGGAAACCCACCTTCCTACAAAATAGACACGTGGCTTGATCGTGTGACGGCAGAATTGCTTTAGGGTGCTTTCACCAATACCACTTGTAGCACCAACTACACAGACTCTCAGCTTGTGCTCTACCGACACTTGGAGGGGATATACCAAAGACCGCTACCAATCCTGGAGGCAGGTTCTTCAATTTGGCATTCGATGCCCGGACGATTTCGGGAGCGACCATGACCATGAATCAATCAAAGCATGTGTTTCACCGTGACTCTTGAGGTTAGACGAATGGTGGCTGAGAAGAAGCCTCGTTGTGCACAAAGTCCTACAATCTGTCCGTGAGTCTGATGCTGTCCAATGAATGATACCGCCGGTACTAGCGCTGACTTTTCGAGACCCTGGCGGTTCCGGCCCCGGCGGCTCCGTTACTCCTATCTACTTTACCCGCATATGCACTCTCCAAATTCGAACCTCTATAATTCATCGTTCCACAACGATATAAGAAAAAATAGAATAAAAAAGATTATAAGATATAGAATGCGATCTCCAAATCTTCAAGGACACTTGAAATTGAAGTCGGATTGATGGAATTATACAATAGTGTAAGAAATACAGGCTCGATATCTATTACACTAGCATAAAACTTTGTCGATAGGCACTATCGAAGTCACTACTGCAAGTCAGATAGTAGCAAGCTGTAGTATGAACGAAAGCATGAGCTACAGCTCTACAGCTTCCAAGTTCCAACTTTTTGACCGTGTACTTGCAGCTACGGAGCTGCAAGTGCAATGGTGACTTTCTTTCATTGAAGTAGCGAAACGTGTCTGCTTGCAGATCTTGGCACGATTTCGCGCATAACTTTCTGCTTCTCGTAAAATCCCCGTATCGACTTTTCAACTATCTGACTCGCAATAGCAACGTTGATAGCCCCTAATACAATATCGGATCCAAAAACATTTGACCCTTCAGAAGTCGTATTCTATGCGCTACAATTCTTTTTCAATTATTTTCCGCACTGTTGTTGGGGAAGGATGAGTTATTATTGTTAAGGTTCGAATTTTGTCGAGTGCATATCCGGGTCGATACGAGTATCCGATTTGAGACTAGCGAGTCGGGTCCGAGAATCTCTGGGTTTACCGTTATCTCGTTTGCAATTCTTTCCAGCGATTGCTTGACGCACCCATCCAAGAATAGGCGCGTGCTGCTCTTTTCGGGAATGACAATAAAGTACCTAAAGTAGCTGGTTTGGTCGGCTGAGGACCGTCCCGCTCTTTCAATAAAGTAATGTGAGAAGGCGGTGGCGACGATCTTCATATATATAGGCTCGTCACTCAGATCGACAGTCCTTTTACTGACTTGCGAGCAACTTACAACAACGTCGCTGTCCAACATGATTGAGATGGTTTGTACCAACCGACCGGAAGGCTTTGTAGGCAGACATCCAAAACTTGAGATCCTGCGCCTTGCTTACCTATGACAGGGCCCACTCTCCCACCTCTACAGCCACATGCTCACCTCCTGCTTCCTCGACACCATCCTCGTACCTCTCTGCACTTGGGTATACCTCTTAGCACTTGTCATTCTCGCAGTGACAGGCACGAGGCTCTCGACTCGGGCCTCCCAGCAATCCTCAAGACCCTCCGACGTCAGTCACTATCCCGTCCACAAAACCACCGAAGATGTCGAGATCGTCCGGCTCGAGACCGGAGGTCGGACTCGTCGGCACGCCAAAACCCGCATGGCATTTTCTATACTCTTCTACCTCCTCATCTTCGCGCAAATCGTCATGTGCATCCTCGAGATCGTACGCTTGTCCTACGCAGACCGGGGTATCGGCCTTCTACCCTTCACATTCGTCACCCTGGTAGGGGCTGCGATGGTCCACTATACACAAGGGCTGGAAGGCATGATATTCGGCTGGAAATATTTGAACTTGGCGGTATGGATTGCGCTCGCAGTGACGAACGGAGTGAAGGTGGCGGAGGAAATAAAAGAGGGAACCGGTGCGACAAAAGGCAGCAAATACCCAGTGTCGGACGAGATGACGGATGTTTCCGTGATGATTGGGGTCTATGGTATGTTAGCCATCTTGGAGGGATTTTTGGGAGTATGGAGAAAATGAGGATTCGAGAAGTTTCTTTTGCCATCATGGTCGATCTTTGGGATACCCACATATGGGGAAGTGCGACTACCTAATAATTCAAGGCGGTTGGCCTTCCGTTTGGCGAGGAAAGCGAGCTTCAACGGCAGCGATAATCATTAATGCAGGGAAAGGTTGACGGTATTAAACACCCTTTGAATCTTGATCTCTTTACTCCTATTAGTGATATGTGAAAGCAGGTCCTTCTTTTGTCTTCATGAGACGCCTCGAGAGCAATGACTGGAAGCGCAGAGATGATGATTTCAATGGCCCCCTTAAAACTTCGGACAATCAAATAATGAATTAAATTTCTACTTTACTTTCCGGCTCCTGGCACAAGCCTTTTTGCAGGCAAGCTTTCGACGGCCCGTCCTCCCGTCTAATTGGTTCATCTCTCATCACTGTTTTGAGTTAAGATTTACGAAACCCTAACTCTTTAGGGGAGCTTTACATCATCGATTACGCCGCACGGACCTCCTCCCCTCATTTATGGTATACAATTGAATTTTGAGGGTCTGAAAATTGAAGATCTTTTATTCTCCGGGTCTGCATCTCCACGTCAACCTGCATTTTCGAAAAAAAAATGGACTCACCACTTCCTCCTCTTTGCCCAAGTAGCTTCTTCTTACATCAAAAGATTCACACCCCATCACCAATAACCAACCCTCACCACCAATCCACCACCACCACAACACCCATTAGCCCCACCCAACCATGCCCTCCCTCCTCCCAACCACCCCCCTCCAGCGCCCCCGCGCCCGCCCCTCCTCCCCCACAACCCGCGCCCCGCCCCACGGCCCCAAACCCCACCTCGCCGACCTAGCCCTGAAACTCTGCCCCGCCATCCGCCGCGCGCACGCCCGGCACGAGTACGAAAAGGACCGCGCGCGCGTGCGGGAGGTCTACGCGGGGTACCAGGAGCGGCGGCGGCGGAACAGGGGCGGCGGCGACGTCGTGGGCGGGGCGCGCGGGGGCGGGAGCGTGGTGGACCTGCGGACGTATCTGGCGCCGGTGGAGTGGGTGCCGATGGAGCGGGGGCGGGACCCGTGGTGGAGCGAGGAGGTGCTGGGGGAGGGGGAGGATCCGTGGCGGTTGCCGCCTGTGTGTGGGTGAGGTTGTTTGAGGGAGGGGGCTTTTCTGCGGGTTCACTGCCGTTCCTATCGATCGGTGCGATGTGCTGGACTCGCGGCGAGGAAGTTGGAGAATGTCTGCTGTACGGCTGCGCTTACGGACCCTGGCCTCGAGCAGGACCTGGCGCTGGCTCCTGGCTCCTGCATCCTGATGCACTCACTGTCAATGTTCCGCAGGATGGTCAACAGACGTGAAGACGGATTGGGCGGGACCTGGATCCGGGTGTTCCTGGCAGGTAGAGGAGGCCGATTGGGAATAAAGTAAGAGCGTGGGATTTGGGATGGATCATTGTTTGAATTGCGATTGGGATGCTGGCGCCCTTAGCGGAGCGGCTGCGAGGTGTTTGGGGAAGGTCTGAGCGAAGGAGAATCTCATGGTGTAGCGCTCGGTGGGCGCCTT